CGGAATTCAGACGGAATTATAAAACAGTAACTTTTTCTGGCGTCAACCGAAACATTGGAGTAAACGAATGCAATTATTACTTCCTGAAAAGTATGCTCTAAAATTCAATTTACACCTTCACTCTCCGTCGTTCGTATATATATTAGGAACAAAAAAAAAACTGCACAAGTTGCACTTCTAGCCGTTCTCTTCGAACATATTAACGTTTTAATAATGACCGTTTCGTAAGACTCGGCATTTTTCGCAGGTCTCGAAACAAGTTTCGAAGCACGTAAACGACAAGATCGATAGCCTGCTGTAGATCTCGTATGGAATTTAAAAGAGAGATTATTATTATTTATCGTATTATACGAAATTTCGAAATTCGTACTTGACATTTTCGAAGCATTCGAAATCGCTTAAGAATCAATGTTTACAAAATATTGAAGACACCGAAATGGACGGGGAATTCAGTAAACTTATCGGTGGATCTAAATAACAGCTGGATGTACGAACGGAATACGAAGATCTATGATAAGACGGTTATAGACTTGCACTTGGACGCAAGGTAATCATTTTGAGTAGCTATTGTTGTGCTAAGAAAATACAGGTTGTTGGAATACTACGACTAGCCATACTTGGAAGCAGAATGAAACAGTACGAGAACATCTTCGCAAGAATCGTTAAAAAATTCAAGATCGTTTTGTCCATTTTAATTCGGCCATAAAAGATAACGAATGTTTGTATCCTGATCTGTGATCTACGAAACATCGAACATCAAAGATTAACGTATCTCGTTAGCTGTTCGTAATTATTGAATAAATTACGTTTTACTCGAGCTGACAAAAAGAACGATCGTAAACTGCCACGAGTGAAAGGACGAAGAAAGCAAAAGGTGCGAAGATTCGATCGCGACGTCCTGCATTTAGCAAAATAGTTTCTAAATAAAATTCAGCTTCACGCATTTATCATCGAAGTAACTAACAGCGACGTCCTCGGGTCTGCATTCTTGAAATTTCTTCCGTAATTACGAAACGTTTATCGTTTATTTTTACGCGAGCTTCCTGCATCCATCGAGCGACCCGTCCTGTCGCAGAACTAAAATAAAAAGCGTGCCTTTCATGCTTGCAGCGAAGGTACGAAAGAATACGATCGAGAGGAAAAAGAACGCGTTTTCTTCCGTCAAGGAAATCTAGATAAATAATAGATCGATCTTCGAGCTCTGCTACGTTTCCGTCGTCGCGTTGACGGACACTGTAATCACGAATGGAATGTTAACAAACTTGTCGATCCGAACGGCGTGTCGAGTCCTCTCTCGCAACGCCGTGCAATTTAACTCGAAGACGAACGCGCTACTATCTTCTGGCGAAATGGAATTGCAGACGTTCCCCGCGAATATCCTTGAAATACCGAAAGTATAATACCAGCCGGGACGAGAGAAGCGTTGTTTGATAAATTGGCGCGATAATTTTCTTCCTATTGCTAAATTACGTCGACGCAATAACTCTTGCGAACATTTACTTTGCAAGCTCCATCTCTATCTATCGCTTTTCGCCCCGAATAAATTTGTTAAAATTAAACATTTCTCGTCTTGAAATCGCAAGTTATATCGTTCGAAACGAATTAATTATACGACACGTATTGTTTAATAACGATTACGAGTGTTTACGTATCAGTGAATCTGGTAAATGGACGCTTTCGGTCTTCCGGTTCGGAAAGAATACCGACAGATTGTTCGCGGAACACGTATCAATGTTTCTCGGAACACCTGTGTCGATGAAGTATAATTACAGTAGATTGCAATTACAGCTTAATCGAAGATTCAACTGTCTGAACGCTACTTAATAGAACGTTCAATTGTCGGAGCAGTATCGTCTAGCAAAGATAAACAAACATCCATCGCTTGATTATTTTGAATTGATTCGGTTAACCAAGGTTCTACCGTGACGCAGACGTTTTGCCAGTCTCATACCACAAGAATGTAGATCTTAGGATAGAGTCGTAACATTCTTCCTTCCTCGATTTTGACAATATTAAAACAATAGACGCGGAAGAATAATTATTGCATAAGATCTCTCTAACGCTTCTCACATAAAACTCTGCAGAGTTAATGACAAAGCAGATCACGATAGTATAGATACCATCCACGCTACTCTCTGCCAAGTATTCTTATACAATAGTTTAACTCGACACGAGAGGTTCGAGGAACAAGATTCTTTCGAAACATAATTTCGTCGGAAAATCCCCTTTATTCGACGGCCAACGCGAACGCGACCTAAAGTTTTTTAAACGAAATTCCTCGGTTGTAACATCGTCGTTTAACTTGCAGACGAATCGAGAAACAATGCATGCCGTAATATCAAAACACGCTCGTGGTCCTGTTTGTAAAACAGCGCAATATCCAGGGTTCAGATTACAGACTGCTTCTTGAACTTCGTACGCACGACTCCGTTATCGGAAGCTTTGGAAACAATCGGCGATCCGATAAAGGAAACATCAATTTCGAGCGAACGCCGCGGCGTAGAATGGCGTTCGTTCGAAATTTACCGTGGAAGCTAATTTCCGGTTAATCGTGTATTTCAACTCTCGGGGCAAAGGATCTTTTGGAAACTTTACACGTAAACGGATAAGTGGATTCGATCTTTGCTTTGTTTCGAAATTGAAGAGGAATTCGGGGATAAAAATATGGGGTTTGAATAGGGTACTCTATCGAGTCTGAGCTATGAAAAGACGTAAAAAGTTTTACGTCATTAGTGTAATTTACGTCTGATCTTAATATTTGTACAAATTACTGTTTGATCAGTTGTTTGGCGAGAACTCATTGCTTAAACGATTCCACTTTGAAAATTGTAGTTCGAAAAAATGTATGTAAATAAAGATATTATCAAGAATATTCTACGTTCGATGGTTTAAATCAGAGTCGAATATGAATTGCAATTAAATCGAATTCGTGAATTTCGGGAAATATTTTTTCAAAACGGACACGGACATGGGAAAACGAACGTCGCGAGGCCGACACGCGATCGCCACGAGGTTCGATAAATTATGAACGACATCGTGACAGTAGCGAAAAAGTGCAACGTTCGAGTTGCCGGTTGCATCTGTCGTGTAAACGCATTGCGCAATCTTGTCAGAATTAATTATTACCTTACAACTTTGCCGTTTCCGTCACACGAGCTCTGAATTATTCATCCCGTCCCGATACACCGCGCGAATTTTTCGATAAATATCTATCGACGTTCGATTGCTCCGCCGGGATTCGATTTACCCTATAAATAGGAATTTCATATCGCGCTGCTACTGCGTTTTCCCGGCTGCAACAATCGCGTGCTACACTGTCGGAAAATGAATTAAAGATGAGGGAAGGTCCGGGGGAACAGAAGACCGTGATCCGAAGGCTAGACAATAGATAACGAAAAAACAAACAACGGACAAGCGTGTAACAAACAAACGTTCGTTTTTTTAATCTTTACATCTCGTCGTCCGAAACGTCGCGTAAGTGGCTTGGAATTTATTGTTCTTACAATTTTGGGGATTTTCCATATGTAACTTTAAAATGATATTAAATCGCGGACGAGACGCCAAACGCAGATTTTCGGTTGTTTCACTGTTTCCAAAGTCTATGTGTTCAAAAGCGGGTTTAATATCGTGCAAGAAATCAGTCGCTTTTTCGACCGTACAACGAATTACATCTTACAGCGCATTCGCGCAGATTATGTGTATTTACTGACAGATTGATTCTTCGGAGCGGAAGCTGACGTGCAACAGCGTTACACACACGACGCGCAGCGCATGTAAAACCGTTATGTAAAAGTCATGACATTTGTATTGACATGCCGTCTACTATCGCGGCCACTGTTCCATGGATGTCAATGACAGTATTTAAAACGTTTGGTTCTTCGCCAAGCTGCGCATATCGAGATCCACGTGTACTTGGTGGCAGAGGAATCTTCGAAAGAAATCGTATCGATCGATAAAAGTGAAAACCAAATTAATTACATCGTACGCGAAATAAAACACTATGTAACACCTCGCGAAGGCCACCCTGCATAATTTTCGTCCGATTATTCCACCTTGTATAACGTCTCATGAATTATTCAAATAATACAAGAAACGCTTATTCCGAATTGTTCGAATATTTCCAAATTATGATTAATGTTTCTTCTTCTGAAATTGCTACTTTTCTCCTGGCTTCTCGACAAAATAGAAATCACGTTCGTTGGAATAACATTAAATAAAATGCTTAATGAGTGTCTACTTTTATTCGAATGTTCGCACCCATCCGATAACGAGCCAAAGGCTCACTTTGTACCGGATGTACGGTATTCGGAGACCCGTACTTGGAAGAATCGGTCGACGCGAACACGTTGACACCAGCCGGTGCAAAGTTGGTCGCGTGTAAGCAACGGTATTGCCTCGAAAAGTGTTACAATTGCTTCGTCGAACTCCAACCTGGTGTCGAAAGTCGTCGCGAGACGAAATTGCTAAATTAACGCTGAAAATTAAATATTACCGAATAATTTCAGGCGAGAATCAAGAGCTAAAGTCGATAACTCATTATTCCTGCAATTTGCACTTGAAACTAGCTCAATCTGCGCTTTAAAATTAATTATTAAGCCTTCAATTTGTTTGGTCCCACTGGTACCGCGAAACCTTCTGCATCCTTTAACTTTGCTCCGCGAGAATGTCGTCATTACGCGTCGTCACCGTCATTAAATTATCACCAGCAAGACTAAAGGACTGTTTAGGTACTTCTCACCAGTCTGTCCGCCCACGCACCATTGTTTCGTTTGTTTCCGCGTACGGTTAGACATTCGACACGCTTCGAGCGCGATTTCTATTACTAAATTAAATTTCCCGTGGATCCCCAAAACGATCAACAATAAAAATCTAGCGTTAGATTCTCTTGTAAAAAAACGCGTCGAATGGATTCGTATCGAGTAATATTTCGTTATCCACGTCGTCGTTTAGCGATCGTTGATCGAAAAATGAGGCCAGTTCGCTACTTTCTTTTTCAACAGGAAGAAGAATCATGCATCGGTGACACAACTGCATTCAAAATATGTTTGCTGGTTGGTGCCATTCTTAATATTTAACTGCGAGTTTTCACTGTTACTACTTACGAAACTCTTGCGCACGACTGAAAGTTCTCAACGGCGCCAAGATGATGCTGATCAAGAGTTTCTTCCGGAGGATCATCAAGGACTTCCGGCACAAGGAGCTGCTACCCCTTAAAATGATATTCTTCGTTCAGGCATCGAGTCAGTATACTGTTTATTTTATTTAAGAAATTTCTGAACGTTTGTTTCGAACGCGTCGGCGATATTAAACGATGATTTCAGCGCTCTATGTACTTTATCCATACTTGACGATCCATATGCGGGAACTGGGCATAAACGTGGAGGAAACTGCCATAATGAGCGCCATAACACCGGTGATCGCAATGGTGATGCCACCCTTGGCCGGAATGTTCGCCGATCGCGTGGGAAACTTCAAAGTAATATTGACCGATACTTTTTTTAAATAACTATCGCCATACAATGCACAGGGTGTTCTTAAACTGTTTCCTTAAACCTTGAAAATAAAATTATTTCAAGTGACAAGATTTGAAGAAACGCCCTGTGTTGAGCTTAAGGGAGGAAGAATCTTTCGTTCAAATTAATCGAACGATTCTTGTTCCCGTGGTTGCGTTGCGTTATCCGCCACGTAAACTGTTGCACGTTTATGTTTGCTCGCGATTTAACGACGAGGAAGAACCCTAACGCCGACACGATGCTTTCTATTCAGATTTTACTATCCCTGTTCTCGTCCTTTGGCGGAGTCGCGGCGCTTTTATTGCTGCTCGTTCCAATAGGCAGGATAACCGTGGAATTTCCGGACAGAGTCGTTATGGATCTCGGCTGTACAGGGAATAACGGGCTGCTTTACACGATGAGCCAGAACCATCCTTGCGAGACGAAGCTGCAAACGGAGATCTCCACGAGGCTCGAGAGTTGCGGGTAGGTAATGGTTCGTGTCGCGAGCGATTCCGCTTCTATTCCAACGTTTACGGAACGTAAGAGCCATTCGAGCTAACCAACGACGTCTGCTCGCGGAGACCAGAGAGCTTCGAGCAAATTGAATAGAAAAATTCTAAGAGAAACTTTCGCCACCGTGTCGTACGATTATTTTACATTTTTTAACCGCCTCGTCTCATCGCAACCGTTGTTTTATTGCAGTTACACGTGTCGTATGGACGTTTATAACGACACGGATACGAAGTCTATTGTGTCGTCCAGAATGTACACGATCAAACGCCACAATTTGGAAACTGGCGCCAATTCCACGATCGTGTTCTCGAACGCTCAAACCGACATGCCGCTGGTACGTATCGTGCAACTTTTCTATTTAGAAACGTAATTGTGAAACGAGGGTGCGATTTTTAGGACAAAGACGAGGATATCAGGGAGCATCGAAAGCTGACGAACAACGAGCACTTCAAAACGTCCATACGGCAACTCTCGAGGAACGAGTACTACTTCCCGACCTACCAGCTCTACGAATTCACGTGCACGGTGTCGGGATTCATCGAGGACTTTGAAACTTCCACCCTGGACACCGCCATGTCGAACAGAATCTACGAGAACCGCACCCTTTGCGCCTTCAACCCAATTGTAACTCAGAAGGTACCACGATCGGACGCCATTTTCGACATATTAGAATTTTTTTACCAAAATCTCGTATAATAGCCACATAACGAAACTTTGTTTTTAGACTTGAGAATGAATTTTTCTAACACCTCGTACGAGTTAGTCACTGCGTTAAAATTGTACTTTTTCTCAAAAATCTGATCTCTTGCCTCAGCTTGTAACATCTATGCTCTGTCCAGGACGACTTGGACCAACTGCTGAACTACCATTCGTACAAATCGAAGCTGAAGGAGCTCGAGGTGACCGACGAGGATCGCGACACGAAACGAAGGAGATTCTTGTCGGAGGAGATATCGTGGACCAAGAAGACGTTCCAGAAGATAACCTGCGGGAATCCCGACCTGGAAACGGAGAGGATATTTCTGAATCTACCGCTGTACAATTATTCCTTGAGCTCGGAACCGTACAGGATATTGAACAGCGAGGAGTGCAGCAAAAGGTGCATCGTGACTGCGCCACGGAAGGAAATGTGCTCGAACAAGGACATGGTCGTCGAATTCAACATCAGCGCTACCTTCTGGATGTACTTCGCCATTAGGGTATTTATCAGTGAGTACGGTACTTTTTGTACGAAGTTCGAAATCGGTGAATTTCGCGTTTAATTACGGGCCGTTTGTTAACTTTGCAGGTGTCATCGGCGGTACCACGTTCGCCATGTTTGAAGGCGCGGTAATCGCGATACTGCGCGAACAAAAGGCCGACTATGGCCTTCAGAGGATTTATGGCAGCATCGGAGGTATGATATCGTCGCCTCTTTCCGGGCTTCTCATCGATTACGCGAGCACTGGCAAGAGTTACACGGATTTTAGGTAAAGGTGCATTTATTACACCCGAATTTTGAGCATAGCTGTGATTATAGTAGCACGATTATATCGAACATTGTACTTTACAGGCCTGCATTTTATCTGTACGCGGCCCTGAAGCTCATGTCGGGGATACTGATGTTAGCTATCAATTTGGAATTCAAATCACCGGCCAGCAACATTGTTCGCGACGTTTTCACCGTTTTGAGGAACATCGAGGCGGTTGCTCTATTTATCGCCTGCTTCATTCTCGGTAAAAAATACAATAATTTAACATCGGCCAAACACGCTAGTGTTTTTTTGAGATTCAAATTTTTTTTAGAGCGAATAGCTTTTTAATTTCACATGCACGTAACGTTTATTCGATGCATTTTCGTACCTCACGAACTCGAGCCGAAGAAAATAAAATGTTTTCTTGCAGGAACCGCCTGGGGCTACATCGAATCGTTCCTGTTTTGGTTGATACAAGATTTAGGAGGATCAAGATCACTCATGGGTATCACCATAACCGTAGGCGGTATAGCCGGTATACCATTACTGGTCCTATCTGGTCCAATCATATCAAAGATCGGCCATGCCAATGTACTTTTCATAGGCTTCATTTTTTACGCCATAAGACTTTGTGGTGAGCATCCTCTCCGCCTCCAGTAACGTTCCACGACTTTGATACTATTTTTTTTAAATCGAATTTGGAGCTACAACTTTTCTCCATAGTAAAATTTTACGATCCAAGAATCGAACTTCCACGATATTTTAACATTTATATTCGCTTCTACTTATAGGTTACTCGTTGATATACAACCCGTGGCACACTCTCATCTTCGAGGCGCTAGAATCCGTCACTTTGTCGCTTAGTTTTACCGCCGCTGTTACTTACGCAGCGAAATTGTCCACCACCACCACGGACAGCTCGATACAGGGACTACTAGGCGGAGTTTATTATGGAGTCGGTTAGTAATTAAATAATAAACAACTCTTTATCAAGTTTGACAACTATAATCGATCAAAAATAAATTCCAGGCAAGGGCTCCGGAAGTTTGATCGGCGGTTATTTGATGAAGGCGTTCGGTACCCGACCGACCTATCGCATATTCGCGGTGATAACCCTAATCACCGGTATGATGTACTACATCTTCAACGTGGCGTACCTGAAGAAGCGGCCCCAGGTCGAGGGGAACGACATCGTGAAGAAGAAGCCGAAGAAAATGGAGAATCAGAACGGCGTGGAAAGCGGAATAATCGAGATAGGGCTGGAAGAGAAACGCGACAACGAGGGGAAAGAGAAAGAAAAAGGATCAAGCAATCTGACCGGGATCGACAACGAGGCTTTCTCGAAGGAGCAAGAAAACGTGAAGTTGTCGAAGGAAGAAGAGAATCGAAACAATATGGAGATTATCAACAACGCGAAGAACCTCGACAAGATCGAGAAGGCGGAGGACAACGGCAGGAAGAAATTCGGCGCGAAGAGGCTAAAAAAAGTGCAAATCGACGAACACGATCGAGCGAAAGAGTGCTCGAAACAGAACGGTACGACGAATCCGAGCTTCGAGAACGACGATCAAGATCGGTGTAACGTCACCGTCGAGAGTCAGCCCAACGACAAGAAATGAAAAAAAGTTCCTTTTAGAGAGATCTCGACGCCCTTTCCCCTCATTATGATCTTTATTCTCGATAAAACGAATCGATTCAGCGGAATTTAACGAATCGGTAACGACGGCGAAACAGTAACAGATTTCTCGTCGAGTCTCGTGCTTGTACAAACTCTGTATACTCATACGTAGTTGAAGATGCTTGGGTAAAGACGGTACTGTTCGTTATTGTTAGAACGATGCAAACGGAGCATCGCTGTTAGAAAATTAGCCACGATCAAGAATTTTCGAACGATCTTGAGTCTATTTCAGTTTCGAAAAGATTAGAAATCGTTCTAACAACGACGAGCTTACTATGTACGATAATAATACACGACGATGCTCTAAAATTTTATTTATCCGCTATTCGAAGATACTTTAACTAACATCGTGCATGTACTTCACAATGTCAAATATCGAGTTACGTTTATTACATATGTTTCTGTTTTCTTTTTTTAATATCGAGACAACGTAGAGACATAACGATTCCAAATGTAAATGTAATGTTTCATTTTTAATTCTTAGGGTAACATTAAATCTCTATTTTGTACACTTTTTTTTCATAGAGTAATATAAAATAAAGATACTATAGTTTGTACGTTTAAAGATTAACGTACGTTACAGATTAAATAGAATTTCAATTAATTCTAATAGACATAAGTGTTAATATAAATATGTTGAAACCCATGAAACGAGTATATTTGTTATTGTTGTAAGAACGTTATATATATATATATTTTTGTCCGTAAAATAGGGTAACGCGAACGTTGAAATATGGACGTATTAATTGACGCGAGCGTCAGAAATCTGTAACGGTACCGATATTTTATAGTTTATATTAACACTTGGAGCCCCGTCGATGATACTCTTACCACGCATTGAAATCACCCGAGCGGCGTTTATATTAATAGTAACATCGCGATCTTATTACAAAACTGCTGTCGATCTTTTCAGTACAATGAATTCCGATTCCCTTTAAATATCGTATAACTTTGAACATTACTAAACGCATCGTAAAATCAAGTTGATCTTGAAGTTACCTCCCAAGAACGTTAGAAAGAAATATAATTTTTCGTCCCGTCAGTTTTTGAAGAATGCTCTCTCGACCATTATGTCATAGAATCAGTAGCTTAGCCGTTGCATTAAAAGACCTCGATGTTGTTAAACGATAGAAAGCTAACGACAGTACTGCGAAGAAACAATGTGATATAATTATGCAGGAAGTAGCGCGTAATGGCGAATCTCGCACAATGTACAACCATAAAGAGGATAAATTGTATACCCGTAACTACTATGCACATTTTTTACCACGCGAGGATCTCGTGGACTCGTTGAAGATCTAACAATAAGAGACAAAATCCCTGCGTAGTATTTACGGATTAATAATCTTCCATTCGTGGCATAGTTTCGACGGAAAAATAAAAGGAACTATAAGCAAGCGAAAAGATTTCCTCGTTTCATCCATTTCCTCTAAATGTCACGTGTCGTAAGTCAAATAAAAAGAGTCTCCGTTAACAGCATAGTCATTCGGACCAAGGATTATCCGGTCAAGGACGGATTAATGACCGTTTGTTTCCTTACTCGTCGCATTTCATACGCGTGAATCCTCGTAACGGTGTGTTACAGTTTATGGAACAAATTAGAGTGATTTTGTCAACCCTCGTTTACAGCCATTAGCATGTTCGTGCTCGTGGAAGATATTTTGTCGCTTCGTAAATCCGTCCGACGCGGAAAGTAATCGCGAACGATATAGATTTTGGTAAAAATCGTGATATCGGATTATAAAATTTTTTGCTATCCGACCGCTAGAAAATCTTTCGACGTATGAAATGGAAGTTGCAAGTCACGTTAAATACGACAGCACTAAACGCTCGGAGAGGTCAATAAATTTACAGCTTCTTCCTCGAAAGATACAGTTACGAGTCTATATAGAAGACGCGTGTCGGAGCTCTTCGATCATTCATCTTTAGACAGCGGAGAAGATGCTGGTTATATTAATTTCGCTGCTTTTAGCGAGCCTGTCGAGCGCCTCGATGTTACCGGAAGTGACGTCATACGCGAAAGTGTCGCGAAACGGGCAGGAAGATCAAAACACTAACAACGACCTGGCTTCGTGGATCACCAGGTTGGACGATTCGTTCGTTTGGAAACAGTTCGTATTGGTAAATCGAATAATTTCTGATTCAGAATGATCTCTCGGAACAACGAGTCGGAAAGCGAGGGCAGGGGCATCAAAGACATCGCCATTACGGTGTCGCCAGTCTACATTTCGCCGAAAATTCCTAAATTACAGAACGGCGAGGTTGTCAACTATCCGCAGACGAGGTACGGAGAGAAACCATGAATTTCTACTTTGATTTTTCAGTTTTTTTTGGATCGACTAATCAAAATTCTAGATACTCGACGTTGGATCACGAGATGCTGGCAAAACTGAGCGCCAAGAAGCAGATTCAAAACAGATACCACCCGGCGCCGGTTCTCTTTTCAAAGAACAAAGATACGGAAAACGACGCGAAACAAAACTCGAAACCCATTCGCCTAAACGGGCCTCCGAGTGGTCCTCCTAGCGGATCGCCAAACGGCCCTTCCGGTGGCCCTTCAGGTGGCCCTCCAAGCGGTCCTCCGAGTGGTCCACCATCCAATGGTCCACCAAGTGGTCCACCAAGTGGTCCACCGTCTTCCAGCAGTTTCGACTTTTCCAAACCAGTATTCCCCGGCAGCTACGACTACAAACCACCGGACTATCTCAGCGAGAAACCGAGCTCGAAACCGTCAGAGTACCTCAGCGACGCGTCGATCTCCAAACCATCGGACTTCCTCGGCGACAAACCGATCTCCAAACCTCTGTCGATGTCCGACTACTCGGACTTCGGCATACGCGACAAGGTAAAGCATCTCAAGTTACGATTTTTACTCTTCGAACGATCAGCTATCAAAGATAAACAGCTTCGAACCGTGTGTTCGAACGATCGAGACTTACTTGGATCGTCGTTTTCAGCCTCCGGACTCCTACAAACCGGAACCCCATTACGCCTCCCACGGTCACGATTCAGACTATCCCGATTTTCCGGACGATTCGTCGTACAATGGCGGACCAGCACCGAAACCGATCGAGTTCACGGGCCACTTGGACCATCCGCCCTACGACGACTCCTTCGGTCACGATCACGATTACCACCACGAGGTGATCCACGATCACATACCGGAATACTATGAGCACACCGAGGAGCCGGAAATGAACGATCAAAGACTCGACAAAAGGCCGTACTCCTATTACTATATCGGTAAAAAGCTCTGGTACGTCCCTCTGTACTTCAGCATCTACTTCATCATCTACATCGCGGCTCTGGTGCTGAAGAGCATAGCCAGACACAAGATCTCGTTGCCCAGTCACTTGGCGGAAGCCGTTGGACACTCTAGATCGTTCATGGAACTCGACCTGTGGGATCTCGCGGGAAAAGTACTGGAGGGGATCGAGAACTTCGCGGGGAAGTACGGAGCGGTCTCCTAAAGTTAAAAAACGTAACGCGAAAAGAGAGTTGCACGCCATTTCTATAACATACTAGTATAGTCGAGAATCCCTGTGACATTGTACCATATAAGCCTTAGAATTACTTTACGAAGCATGTACTTTGTATGTGTAAATATTACGGTTAAGTGTTTTGTAAATATTCATCGATGTATTTATTAAGAGCATAGAATTAATAAATGATTGATCTTGAAACCGAAGGTGACATTCTATCGTTTAATCCTTGAAATCATCGTTCATAATGTCTCATAGATGGTTAGTTCGTAATTCCTGAACCTTGGAATCTAAGCCACTGTGATCGAATAAGCCTACTTTCGCGTGTCTGCAGGTGGCTAACCAATATTTCTACCATAGTCTCGATATCTAATTTATAAGAACTGGAATTGTGCCTAAGAATTCGGGTCGAAACGAAATCCAACGAAAGCCTGCACGGGGATTTCTTAGTTCAAAATACGCAGGAACGCGCGAACCTGAGCAAACCTTAACGTTGACGCGTTCGTAAATTCCCGAGAAACGGGCGTATTCGGTTATGGCTGCTTCTTACTGCCGCGTCAAGAGTCACGGCGCAAGTTTTTGGACGGATAACGAGGTGGAATTTGTCAGTATCGGCAGAATCGAAAGAATTACAGGAAACGACGCGAGAATTCTGATGGTTCTCGCATTCCGATTGACCAATTACGCTGCATCCGTCCGCGGTTTTCTTTTCACGTATGATTCCTCGATTCACGCGGCGCACAGAGAATACGAAACCGTCCTTTTCATATTACACTTTCACGCGTCCCGCGTATGCATAATGCATTTAATACATAAAGATTCGCGATAACGCTACGACCTCCACTCCACGCCATTTGCAAAGCGTAATCTGATTACGTATCATCGACGATTAGAAAATTTATAGAAGGATCGAATCGCAGGAATTATATTCTCCCCCAAACTCGGAGAGTTCGATCGATAGATTATTAATTCAAAGACAAGTTTACCGTATAAAGCAGAGTTTACTAAACTAGCGTACCCCGCCCATTTCTAACTGAACCTGCATCAAGTATTTGCAGCAATTATCGTCGGTTTAGAGTATTGTTTCAACGGGACTTGTTTAAGAACTTGCTAATCGCGTGGCCTAATACCGTAGGAGGATGTACATCGCCTAACTGACCCGAGGTTCATGTTTCCATCGCCTAGATATCCGTGGATGTACAAAAGTTCCATCGTGCCGGAGAGAGAAAAAAAAAACTTTCCGTCGGTTCGAATATTCGCTAGTTGGCGCATGTAAAACAGCTAAACGCTCAAATTGGTTGGGACGAGAACAATACCAGAAGCGGCCACTTTGTTTACTTTGCCGGACAGCTCAAAAGTCAATGATCCGACCACGACGAGGAACAAGTGGAATTTTACCAGGAAAACTGTAGTTTCGCAATCGACTAACGAAAGATTAGACGAAGATAGTTGTGATCTTTCTGGCGATCTTTTTACAAGATCAGATCTTCGCAGACTTTTGACGCGGATCGTTTTCGTAATTACTGTTAAAAATGTTATATTCCGGGCGATGAAGAGGCGCCTAACCGGTCGAGAAACGCCACGACGAAGGTAAACGAAAAAACGAGAACGCACGAGAACAATTCGTCGCCTATGAGCGAATTTCCCGCTAAAGTCTAGACGATGCGACGATACGTAAGATCTGTAACAATTAGGGCTTTTAGCGTCGTACGCCGGATTTACTTAACGTTTCTGCTGATACAGTTATCGGTACGCGTGAACCGAGCAGTATGTTTGAACTGGACCCACGAATCGTTCAGTCGCTCCTCGGGTTTTATCACCGACGGTTCCTTGAATCGTGATCCTCGTCGTCGATACCTTCGAACGTTTTCGCCAGCGTCCAAATTCACCTGAAACATATTCGCGTGTGCTTCGAAATCGAACGCGACGCGTTATCGTATTCGCGAAATTTGTGGGACATGAACCGTAAGTGCGACGAAACGCGTGTTCACGAATGAGAGGACCAAGTCGCGCGACTTTCGAACCGATAACGAGAGATTCTTGACGAGTTTACCGTGATACGAGAAGAAGACAAACTATGGGTAGATATTACTTTACGTTCCATTAGAGAGATACAAATTGCAGTAAAAGATTACGTTGCATGTACGTTTCAGTTCTGTGTATTTGACTGTCTTTTATGAAAAACGTAAATATAAGAGTCTAGAAGATAAATATACTGTCGCTTGAACCGTAAAATCGATGATTCGAAGTTTAAAAGAAAACGTGTTCGAATATTTCAGGCAGTATACGAACGAATTTAGTCAGTCGCTGTCTTCTGCTCCTCCTTTGCGTCTCGGATGCTGTTTTTCACGAGATCGACGCGACCTCCGGGACGAACGAACCCGACAGAAATTCTGCGGTACAGCCATACAGGTAGCCAATTTGAAAATGTCGGATTTACCGATGGTTAAACGAGATTGATCAGCGTTCTACTTCCCGACTAGACATCCGAGAATGTACCGACGCGGTTACCAGGATGATCACGATTCCGACGATCATCACGACGATCATCAGGACGAGCAGAAGGACATGAAGGCCATGGTGCAGCCGAAAGTCGACTATTGGGGCGGCTACTACGACTTCCTGATCAACGAGGGAAGTTACAAGTTCTGGGCCGTGTTTCAGGTGAGTTTACTAAAAAGTAAGTTTCCATCCCGGTTGTGGCGAATGTTCTAATTGCAAACGCGTTCTTCGCAGCTCGCCACCGCGGCTCTTCTGATCTACAGTGGCTTCGCGGCGCTTTACTACGCTAAAGTGAATCCGCCGACCACCGACGACGAGTTCGACGATATATTTCGTCGTCGAAGAAGACGACGATCGTTGTTCGCGCCACCCTGCGACAGACCGTTCTGCGGATTGGACAGTGCCACGTTTCAGAGGATAATGGACGCAGTTTCGAGGGAGATTCACTGACGAAGGGACACGCTGTCGAGAAACCCCCTTCGTTTTCTATGAAGTCTGTGACTTTGCACGTTAATTTCGAGAAACTCGAAGCCATGGTTCGCGACTATCCGTGAGATTAATCAGCGTTTGCGTTGTCGATTTCCGCGGAGTGCTTCGAATCTTAGCTCTTACGATCGTTTCGATTACTGAAAATACCTGCAGTTAAATTGCAATACGCGTTGCGTCTGTAATTTGTATATATGTATAGCGACTGTGTGTGTAATTTAATTAGTACAGTTCCACATTATTCTTGCGACGCGTGTGCGTTCGATCGAGACGTTACGATGCAAGAATGGCCCTTGAACCGAAAGATACGTGTACGAAATCGGTAAGTTTCAGACTTCAATAACGAGCGACTGTTAAAATACTGTACGGAAGATTCGAAAACGACTGTGCCATAGCAGACATTGTTCGTTCTGGTTTCTAAAATTTCTGCGGAGGAGAACTTTCTTGAATTAATAACGTAATTTAATCCCTGGAAAAAGGGCGCCTGAATTATGGTCGATATACCTCTTCAGTGCATTACTTAAATTTAGAAAATCTACCTTTTTCCAGGGAATTTAATTGTCATCGTTGCTTAGAAAATTTTCGTTGTTCGTCTGTACGATAGGAAATACATATGTAACTCGTAAAAATCAAAATTTATTGTTGTAACGTATACTTAAGGGGTTGATTAAAGTACTATACACTGTAGAGAATTTATGACGAATCGAGTACGGTAATACGAACGTTTCTCTGTCCACTGTTTGCAATCGAGTATCACGCGTTGCGATGGAAGAGTTTCGGAAAAGCAAATAAGACGAGGGAGATTTTGGCAACGACCGAAGCGGTAGCAGACGCCAAAATGTATGCGCGCAAGGATCAAAACGTAATAAAAATCCCCCGAAAAAATGTCGACCGATAAATCAACCGTGCGATCCAGCTCGCGTACGTATTCACCGGAGTCCATGCGAGTTTTATATGTGAACGCGTGTGCGCGCGATATGCGCGGTTCAACCTCGGAGGCAAATTTTCTTGTCGAACAGCGCAACGTAACGGGGGCCCTCGAGCATCTTTCGGGACCAACAGGACCGTACCTACCCCTCGATTTTTCCTGCGTTTCTGATCGAACCAAAAAGAAAACCCTGCCCTCGCATTTATCGAAGTTGGGCAAAGTGAACTTCTCCGTGTACATTTTATTCGTTCGTTCGTAAATTGGAAGCCGTTAACGTCTGGACGATTACATTTCCATTTGTCGTTGGAGAATAATAATTTGCTCGACTTTGGTATTTGCAGGTTTCTCGAAAAGTGATCGGAACAAGAATGATCCAGGCGTAGAAACAGTTGAATGTTCGAGTTTGGATGATGGCGAGGGGTCCGGTACGGCCCTGCAAAAATCACCCACAGCGCGTTCACCAACGCATTCCGCCACGTAGTCGGTTGCAAGGGGTACCTTGGGCAAAAGTACGACGATCTCATGCGGCCAGGTGCATCTCGGGAGGGGCCATCGAGCCCGAGAGAGGGAAAGAGGAGTCAGTCTCGCTTCTTTTTCTCTTTTTTAATTTTTCAAATAAATCTCCGACCAGCCGGGAAAACGACGGAGGATAAAAACGACGTAAAAACTGTTATTTACAGGGGCGCGCATCAACGTCGATCGGCGATTCCCGCGTGTTTCGCGGTCGAAACTCGCCCGTGTAATGATACGCGAAACCGGGCCCCCGAAAGCAATTACAGTCATTAACGAGACCGTGCTTCCTTTCGCGAAAAATGTCTCCGCGAGTTTCCCCGAAATTCACACGTTCCGCGCGCGATGGCTGCCATCTTGCGTCCGCGGGAAACGAATATCGATGAGAATCTGAGCCAGCTCCGTTTTCAAAGTACGAGAATCTTCGTAGAAAGTGAATCTCTACGATTCGTAGGCAAGTATTTCGCGAGTATGCCGCCGTTCGAAATGGAAAAACGAAAGAATCTTAACAATGACCGTCAGGCTCGGGACCGCGTGGCTCGCGAGGCAGGAAGCGACTTTTAATATTTCAGATAAATCTCTGCCACGCGAAAAGGAAAAAAAGGAAGGGTCTGGTGGGGGCCCCGAAATCGGGGCCCGCGGATAAAAACAGTAATTTATGATGCAATGGTTGCCGGTGATCGATAATTCTCGCGTTGCAAATACGAGCGGAGCGAGAGGAGGCTGCGCGCTTCCTTCTACTACCGGCCTCCCTCCAGTCCTCGCCCCGCCGTTCCCTTTCTTCTTTTATAGTTAATGATAATAATAATAATGAGGCGAACGGGAGAGGACGCGAAGAGGGCGGGGACGTACCGAGAAGTCGTTCGAAAGGGTGCAGCAGCCACCGCAAAAAGAATTCATTATGACGCGGGATATCTATCAGGGACTTTATCTCGATGCGCGTTTAACAGGAAAGAGTATCGGCGATAAAAATTTTATTTACGACGCACGGTACACCGCGCCGCGCCGTTTCGAGGCCATTTTATACATCGAGCGAACCCTAGGGACGTTCGCGCGAAAGGCGTTGCATTTCCGGGGCCAGATCAGAAAATATTGGCTCGTGCAACGAGAAATCTAAGGATTATCCCTTCTGTTGCTCTTTATTAGAGGCGCGTATCTAATAGAAGCTTAGAAAGACGCGTGGTCTAGCTACCGTGACGCCATTAGTTCCAATAGAGCTTTCCTGTATTATTATTTTTCATAATAATATGATTCTACGGTGAAATATCCTACCTTGGAAAACGAGACTATTACGTTATCCTGAATAATTGTTCAAGATGGTTATATTCATTCAATTAGTCGATCATTAATTACACGGTAACGCTACTCTCAAAATAATGGGCGTACAATTGGAAATATTATTCGGATACGCGTAAGCGCATACGCAATTTATAAAAGTATTTATGAATTTTCATTAGGACTAGTAATCTATGGTTTCCAAGCATTTAGTTCGATGGCATGGGTTGCTGATCTTTCGTAGAATGTTAAGGGATTAAAAAATATCTTGTTCTTGCTTGTTTCTAACGAAACGCAAAAAGATTTGTGCGTCAAACAGCTGACAGGAAATTCATCCGCCCCAGCAGCAATGCAAGAAAGGATCCACGCAAGACGTAAAAATTTATTATTCGGGCGGACCTACGTGAGGGTCATTTATACGGAGTGTATGATTTATCGATGCGTTTCGATCCGTTCTCAATGAGCATCCGATATCCTGAACGACTTTTTGGCTACTATCCAAGGGAACCGTAAGATCCCCGTGATTTGTGTGGCCATTTCGCGATGGTAATGCGGAATCCACGATTAATTTCTTTCTGTTACCAGTTCAAACATCCACTTAGTATCAATGAATCACCACCAAATGGACTTTTTACAAGCGGGGCGCAATGAAAATAATAATGCGTCTTATCGCCACGCGGAATGTAACGAAAGACAGGGGGACAACAGTAAAACATTTTCAAAAGATCTTGATAACCGCGGAAACTCCAAGAATTCTACCATTTAATAGGAACTTCAAACAAGAATCTGAAATTCATGCAACGTTGTAATCGAAGCGTAACCAAATATTAACTTTGGATAGAATGTACGCATCGAAATCACCCGAGCGATATCTTCGTTAATTACGGTCGCATCTTGGAGCTGCATTTATTTCGTTTCGAATTAGAATCTTTAATGAAAATAGTCTCCATTCGTCTTTAAATCGTTATCGGGGGCGTGTAAATTAATTTGCAGCCCCGATGCGTTGGAAAACTCGTTCCTGGAGGCAGTATTAATGGAACACGCGCTGATCGTCACGTCGCGGCGTTGGTTCGAGTTTTATTATCCGTCCGCGGCACTTACGGCTTTAATTGGCAAGAAAGTAAAATTACAATGTACTCGCGGTGGCTACCCGGGCCCCGAAAGGCAACGGCTGGCACCTATAAACACACGTGAATTGCGAGGTCCAGATCGGTGAGATTCAAGGGCTACGCGAAAGGGATGGCGGAAAGGGGAGTGATGGTGGCTAAATAACAACGAAATGCCAGGACCGTGGCCGAAGCCGAGAGAACAAAAGTGGTCTGGCATTATGACGGGAAAAACGGCAGAATGCCACGCGGAATTCAACCGTCGCGTTCCGACGTACTGGAAGTCGGCACGCTTAGAACTTAGTAAATAAACGAGAAACACGCTGTATATAATTGGAAAGGAAGACGGAAAGGACGCGCACCGAGGCGACGTAAGAACGCGGGAGAGATGAATGCGTGGATAGGGACGCAGAAAAAGGGGTACGGCGTAAAGAGGGGAAAAATCGTACGATATAAAAAGATTTCGGAGCGAAACCGAGAGAGAGAGAGAGGAGGGGGTAATTACGGGGAGCATTTCGAAAATGAAACACACGAGAATGAAATATGACAGAATGCCTGGCGCGTCCCGACTCTGATACGGTGGACCCAACGTTCCGTTCGGGGAATTCGGATTATTCCCAACGTTCGATCGTATTTAATAGCTTTCGACTGTCCTCCGTACGTTAAAATTATTCTACGATTGTATTTGAATTAAAATTTCCAAATATAGATCTGTAGAAAAGCGTTGGCGTAAAAAGAAAGGTACTGAAGGGGGAGAGGAGGGAAGGAAGAAACGGAAAAGGAAGAAATTGAAACTGACACTTACCGAAGCAGGCGGTCGAATCGTCGTGCCCGTGCCGGTGGCCACATAACGACTGTTATGTCGGATATGATTATACGGGCAATGAAATACCACGAGCCAGGGAGAAAAACTTTTTTGCCCGTCTTCTGAGGATCCAGCGGAGCGTTGTACGACGCGACGCCGATCGTTCCTCGTCCCCTACGATTCAACGAAGTAATTAGAGCCTGGATGTATTGCGCTCGTTATCGGGAATCCTTTTAAGACGCGGCCAATAATTAATTCCCCGCGACTTTTATATCGGACAAAGTCAGACCGAGTAAACGCGAATCTTTTATTTACTCCAAAGCTTTCGTGTATCGGTATCTTTTCGTGTTAAACGACAGACGATCTATTGGAATTCTTTGTACAATTATTATTTATTGCCTATCAAAAGTGGCTGTTTTCTTCCTTGACGTGAATAAGACTAATAGCGAACGGAAGAAGACGAAGATGTGCAAGTAATTAAAAACCTATACCGTTACTATCGGTTGGAAAGGCTTCGATGTAAAAGGAATCCCGACAAGAAACTTTGCGCGCGTGCAATTAAAGCATTACGGAGATTTTAATATTAACGAGAGTGTTGAAGAGCAAATAACTGGAAGGAAACATTATCGGAGCACACGGCGCGTGAACCGAACAACGGCCAAATGGAATTTTTTATAGATTTGATTAAAATTCCTGAGACGCGCGATTTTGTAATTTTGTAATTTTGAACTAATTGGCTCGAGAGAATATTACTATGTGCGGTGTTACTGTGACATTGGTTTCCCGTTAATATTATCCTTTCAAGAAGATTCGATCATTACTATAGAAAAGAATGTGTGAAAAAGTGATTTTGAAATAGAAATACCAAAATAGCATTTAATCGTTTTAGTTATAACATCGTCTTCCGTTAGATTATGCCTATAGTGTTCTCGATCATGATATTGCGTGATCGCATAAATCTTCCATTTAGCACCGAAAGTGTGAGTTACTTACCAAGATACGTTTTCGTTACGCTTTTATTGTTGGCGTGCGTTGCACATGCTGCAAATTTAGCTTAGAAATCGAAGGTTTATATGGTACACTGGGAGAGTAACACTTCCCAAAGAAAAACACTCTTGCAGATGAGTCGGCGTAATGGTAACCGAGACTTTCTAACGAATGTCTCTGAAATAAAAATAAAGGAGTTTACAAAATGAAAGCTGTTGGCCAACAAAGGGTATCTCATATCTAAGTATGCTGTGTGCACAAGGTACTTCCCTTCTACAGCAAATAAAAACAAGATTATGGCAAACATAGGATGAAAACGTACCTTCTCCGGATCCCTGGGTATAACGTTGACTCAGCGGCGTCGAGGTCCGATTTGCCCACTCGATGGTGTGCAAGGTTTATGCAAATTCGTTGAAAAAAGGCCCATAATCAGCTCGGTAACGATCTTAATCGGTGCACAGGTAAACGTTCTAAATCTGGCGCGCATTCTTGTATCGTGGAACGCGTGCACACGCTTCGTGCTCGCGTTATTATCTGTGGGAAAGCCGGGCTGTGAATCAAGTTTTATTCGCCAGGTTCTCAAGCGTCGCTTTGTTTTGCTTGCTACCATAGACTCTATTTACCTTGCAGCCGACCGAAGTGCCCGGCCACGTTGTGCTCAAACGAACGATTGAAAAACACTAACCTGGTCGTAACCGCAGAACCAAGGCCCATCGACTATTTACGTTTCATCCCCGACGATGTTTATTCTTCGATTTTCACCTTGGACGTAAAATGGGAGAAAAACCTTTCCTACGAACGTTTCCTCGTCTTTGCTTATCCATGGAATTTTCCTAATTTTTAAACAAATCTATTAAATCGACGTTTCATACAATACAATGCATACGATACAATATTTCTATCGACAGCAATTTAACTTTTCGTCCTTGAATCGAAACGAGACCGCGTAATCGTTCGAAACCCCGTTAGGGAAAGTTGCTCGATCGTTTGTTTTTCCTACGTACAACGGAATACGTAATGCTCGAGGAATATGATTCACGTTAATTACCCGCAGATCGCGAGCGCGGCTAGGAATCAGGCCGTCAAAACGCGTCCGCGGCCGCACGACAACGAATGTCCATCGTGAGAAATTTCGCGGCCAGAAATTTATTACCGTTAGATGGCTAACAATGGAACGCGGAACGGTGATCCGTTTTATTAAGGGTCGAATAATGAGTGGCATTAATGCAAACAGCAGGATGGCGCGGATAATGGACGGGATAATGCCAAGAGCGGTTCGTAAGTTTCTAACGAGATGAGGGAGCATAGTAACCTACTCCTTTGATCACACGCCAATACAATGCGCTCGATCCTGGACCTCGAGACTACCGATTATCCCGGTACAGTTATTCTATGCATTTTATTAATCAACCGTCAGCGAGAACTGTTATTACCTGCACAGTTCACGAATATTCCGGTGTATTGATCGGCCAAAAATCTGTTTTCTCTACTGCAGTTGCTTCTAACTATGTAACAATGCGTTGCATCTTACGTTCGTAACGTGGAATTTTTAACTAGCGCGGAACGCGAGGGCAAACAATCGTATTTTCAGTCCTTAACGCTAGAACTACCGACAATTATAGCATTTTGACTGCTTTGGTAGTTCTAGTGTTAAAAAATCAAATTAAACGGATAGTTCCTAAAATCACAAGTATATAGCGACGAAACGAGGACCGTTCAACGATTTCAGACACGGAAGGTGTTTCTACATTGTAATCTACATGATATAATTACGTTGATGTTACTGATCGCATCTGTACAGGAACGAGGAAGAAAACAGCCGAGTATCTCGTTAAAAAGTAACGCGAGAATTAGCATTCCGATAGACGAATCTATTCGCGATGCGTTTCGAACGTGCAACGTCGGCGCATTCGTTCTTTTGGGACCTAATTAAACCCGATATTACAAGAAGCAATCGAGGAGGCAATTTTGCATAATCCAGGCACGTGTGGTTTCGAAGATCTTCATCCGGGAGATAACTTAATTGGAATCGCAGGCGATGCTAGGAAGGATAAACAGAGTAGCTGTTTCCCAACTCGATTGCAACTTGATTGTATACCAGTTCGCGACAGTGAAGACGAGGTTTGCTGTTTTTGATTTATTCTATTTTTATTCGTTAAATATATTATGCGTAATTGTAATCAAGAGTGTAGCTCCTATTTATAAATAAATCAATTTTAAATGACATGATTGTAGCTTCCATTATTGTTTAAATTACTAATCAGCGATGAATTAATACCACGCGAGCGTATATTTATTGCTATCGAAGTCTCCGGCGTCGCGCATTGAAATCACCGAGAGCGCGATTCACTCTCGGGCATCGAAGTCTCGACAGGAGCGGCGCTATCGCGTCCAAGGGACGTCCGCGGCGTCTATTTTGTTCGTGGCGAGTTAAACGATCAGATATCTACGAGATCTGAAGCTTTTTCATCGATAATCAGTCGGTTCTGATCGGGGCGTTCGCAAAGGGATCGGAACAAATTGGTTCGCCGACCGTGAGGATCGGCGGGTTGCAACAAAGTAGCCCGAAGCGGAGGAGAACCGACAGAGGCGTGTAGAAGAAGGGATGCAAGAATGAACGAGAAAAAGAATAGAGCGTGATTCGACGGTGGGAGAGGGGGAAACGGAGAAACGGAGCAGCAATGAAAATTGAGGGAAGAAAAGTCGGTGCGGTCGGTGATTCCCACGAGGAAGACAGAGCCAAAAAGTAAAGTGGCGTGAAGCGAAGTCAGCCGACAAAGCTCGCTGGACGAAGAAGAAATCGAATGAACGACAAAGAACGGCCGGTTAGCTGAACGGAAAGGATAAAGATGAAGAACGGCGGTGCGTGAAGATCTCCTGCTGTCAGTCGGTGGTCAACCGTCTCGGAGGAAGGACGCGGTGCGGAGTGCTTTCTACCTCGCTTCATTTCTCGTTTACGTCGAGCAGCTCCGAAGGCATTTTTATCGAATCATCGTCGCGAGTACTCGTCGTGGAAGCTCGTCGAGGAGAAGTGCGATCGAGGATCCCCGATTTTCGATCGGTCGTCGAACGCAACGTCGGTGGACAAGGTCTAGGATGAAATTTCATCGCGTTGTCGATAGAACACGCGAGGACTATGACCGAGAACGTACACCGTGAGGACTGAAAACGCTCCAGAAATCGTATCAACGGACAAATTCCGGAGGAAAGTGATCGTTCTCGACCGGTGGAGTCAGGTAAAGGTTCGAAGCCATTTAAAACTGGTCCGAAAAATGAACTGGTTTTTTTGTGGGTCATGACGTTAAAAGTTACGAAAATATATATCGAGAACTGTGCTTAACGGGACTGTTCTGGACGTTAAAAAATTGTGCTGCCCCGTGACCTTGAATACTGATCGTGGTAACGCGAAAATACACTACGGTCCATGTGCTCGCCGTCGCCGGATCTGCAATTCAAGCAGAGGAATAACAATTTCGTTTCATCGTGATAAGGCTGTTCTTTTGCTTTCGTTACGATCGAACGGCGTGTAACTTCCAGGCAACCTCGGAAGAAAAAGAACCGTATAGCCCGACGATGAACGCGTTTCGAATTATTTAAGACGGTCGCGTAGGCGCTCTGCATTGTCTCCGGGTGGTTCGGCTCGCGGGGGAAAAAAAAACGAATAAACGAGAGAAACTCTGCGGCAAGAGGGAACGAAGATATTGGAAAAAGATGGCCTCTATGTGTGGTAGCACGAAGAGCTATCCGGCGATAAACACCGGCAGCTATTACAGACCAGGTGCCTACCCTTATCAGGTGAGTGTGGAAAAAAACGTTCGCGCGCGAACTGTTAACCATAAAGTTACGCAAAGTATAAGGAATCCGTGAAACATTATCGCACTCGTTAGCCTTGCCTCCGGATATTCGGATGCTTACACTTTGGCTCCGTTATGGTTTATACCGGAAATCATTTTGACGTGCTCGGCAGCGAACGCATTAAGCTTACGAACGAGGAACGCGACTGAATATATTGCGGAAAAACCCGTTTCGTGGTCGACACTCACGACACGAGTAAAATGTTATGAATAATGGAGGAATCAATCGCGCAGTCCGTTGCTCCGGCATTAACAGAATGAAAATTCGAGCAACGAAATAGCTATCCCTACGAAGATTCCCCCGAAATTTTATATTACGTCAATTATCTCGAGAAAATCGCGTTTAGAGTCACGCTGACTCTGACGTTGTTAATTTTAATTTTAATTTTAGGTTCACAGTTGTTTGCCCGAACACGTTCGTTCGATACCCGCTGTAACGTTGGAACTGTTCTCAGATTTTCTAGATCGGCAATTACTGTTACGCGCGCATTGTTCTTTGTTCTTTCGACGTATCTTTGACACTGAAAGCATTCTCACTCGTTACAGCCATTATTATCATAAATTGCCGCTTATCTGCCGGGAAGCTTTTCCTGCGTTTTCTCACTTTCGTTGTCTTCGCCGCGGATCGGGAGAACCATTGTTTGGTTTCGTTGGTTAATAACGGGAAACGCGAAACGGAGCAGGAATCGAGAAACTTTTTTTTAACGAGTTTCGCAGAAAAGGCGAGCGAGAACAGCTTCTTACCCGTTATTCGTCACTCTCGTTGTCGATGGGCGCGTCGATCCTGCCCGATGCTTATCTTCCGGGCAAACAACGTTCACCGTCGACGAGCTAACCATCGAAATTTTCTCGATCGCGATCCTTAACGTATTTGCATCCCGGTCTGCGTGGTTCTTGTAATTTTCAATCGCCAACAGCAACCGGTATTGACGTCACGACGCACGAGGTTTGCGTAATCTGCAAAATACAATAATTCATTGTCCGTGCAATTACATATTTGTCAGCCACGCGGTCGTTTCCAGCAAGAAGCAATAACTGCCGTCTCGGTGAAATATTTGCGGTTCTGACTTCGCTTACAGTTTTAATTCATATGCAAGTTCCATTGTTCGATCGTAGTAAAAATCCTTTCTTACCGATTTTAAGATGGAAGCGGTTTATCAAATTAAAGGCAACAAATCGATGAATCGGTTCAAGGAGCATCAGATGTATCCGATGCTGTGTATTCCTGAAAAATTATCAGGAAAATTATACGATCGAGCATCGAGTCGTGTTTGGACTCTCGGATTCCGGCAACTCGGTGGTCCCGGAGAACAAGACCCGTAGGATTTCTTTCGATAGACGTAATTAAATGCGTCGCCGTCCGTCGCATAAAACAATATGAAACGAACGGACCACACGTACCGAGTTTGCGTCGCTGGAAACCTTGGCCTTGTCTTGCATGAAAGCATTACATAAGTTCGCCTCGCTCGGCATCGCGTGAAGATGATGATCCGCCATTCTTCGACTTTCTTCTGTCCCTCTCCTCTTCTCGCATACTGTCTCGACCTGCCTTTCCTTGCCACTTCGATCCCTTGTACTCTGTCCTATGTCTTTCCCATCGCTGTTCTATGGGACCCTAAAACGTGTACAGTGAGCGCAAGAAGTATCCTACGATGCGTTCGTTTAACGCAAAGTTATCAAGTTATACTTTTCGTAAAACGTAAAAAGATTCGAAGTTTCTTTTCTACTTTACGATCGTCATAATCATAAGTCATGATTAAATAAATTATGCTGTTCCATTCCCCTACAAACGTAAAATTCCATGCAAAAGGTTTTTCCCTCTGCACAGAATTTTCCAGAATTTTCCTAGCGAGAAATACGATGTTTTCGAATTTTGCATTGCAGATTATGTCATAACTGTTGATTGGTATTAATTGTTCTCGCGTGTTGCATAAGATCCACGCTTTTTTATCGACGAAGTCGTTGTACCAATATTTTTTTTACAGGTAAGAGATAAATATTACGAGTTATAGTTGTTATATTCGCGTGACCGTCGAGTAGATTTTTCCTAACAGAATTAACACGGTACAGAGTAAACGCCAATTAACGCACGGCCGTTTCAAACCGAGAGAAACAGTTGTTATGGTGAAATATGGGCCTTTCTTCTTTTTTCCGCGATACGTCAATTTCGAGGCGCGCATTAGCCGCGTACAGTCGCTTATTTTCACGATATTCCGTTAAAATCGCAGTGCAAGAACGGCGAGCGTACAATTAAAATCTGCAATGCAATTAAGTTTTACCCTCCCATCAAGATGAAGCGTTTCTGCGTGTCATTCCGGTCAAAGACATGCGTGCTTTACCTTGCAATGTCCGTTGACCCTAGAGGAACAGATGTTCTATTGTTTCAGAGTTCCCTGTACTCTCCTGTCATTGACGATTCCAATATTCTCACAGAAATGCCTTTTCGCTTACGTCTTGTGGAAATATTCGAACGCTGTACAAACAATTAATTTCACATTAGAAAAAGTAGAACAACATTTGTATATTAACTCTTTGATATTTTCACAATGGAATCGATTGTAAATTTGAATAAATACAAAAAAAGTTCGAACGACACAATAAAATATTGAACTTTGAATTTTAAAAACCAAAATGCTTGCTAGAAAACTCTTTATAAATATTGTTTTCGATGAGATACTCTTCGAACTTAAGATTTTGACAGTCACGCGGCATAAATACTTTCAGGCACATAATACAATTTTATTTTCTGAGACATCAAACGTTCGAAGCCTTCGAACGCTATCGCCGTGTTACCATCTGACGGGCCAGTATTTTTCTAAGCCACGCCGTGTAAGCCTTGAATAACAAATGCAAAACCGTGGGATCCTTTAGATGGACTTCATCCTTGATACGCTCGAGTGCCCGGCGCGTATCGATCGAAGGATGCATCGATATCTGATTCACGCGACAATGTCACCAGCCTTGAACGGCGACCACGATTGTCCCCAAGGTATCACTCTCCGACGGTCCGGCTAATTACAGATCACGATTACTACGGCGAACGCGACAGGGCTTGGCTACGATCTATCGATCGGTGTTTCGCCGAAGGAACGCATTTTACTTCTCGATCGACCGTGTAACCGCAACGTCCCCTTTTTCTTTTCACTAAAAGAGGTTTCACTAAAAAAGTAACAATAATTAATTCTCAAGATCATATGACGAAGATATCTTGAATTTTAACCAAGCTATAAAAATAAGTTCCCGATTATCTAAATACAAAGTTTGAGTGGACGCGTTAAGAAAGTAAAATGGACGTCTGCATCGAGGCTGGAGAACGATTGAAACGTTGGTGGATTAAAACTTTCGACCGGTGGTCCCGATAAAGTAATTTCGAAAGAGATCGTCGGGTGAGAATACAGAAGGGAGGCACGTCTCGCCATCCTGGAGGCTTTTGTCGACTCCGGGAGGCCGCGCGGAATGCTCGTCCTGGACAAATCGCTATCAGGCTCGGCATTGCGCGAGAGTAATGACTATAATCCCCCGGCTGATTTTTCATCTTTGTCAACCGCGCGCGTTCGACCCGTCGCGTTACAATGTGAACGCAGGAAATTGTTCCGAAAGATCGTCGCGGACAAGTTCCGCGTTTAAGGGCGAACGCACACGCGGCGCGCATCAATAACGCCATTATTACGGAACGTAAACGCTCCGTCTTCGTTAATCTTCCGCTTTAAAGCGTCAGGCCTGTGGGAAAGTTCTGTCGGTTTTTGCAACGCGCGATATTCGAACCGCTCGTGATAAACGGTAGGACCTGCGCCGGGTACAGGGTTATCGCTGATTTATTGTACACAGCTTAAACCGTAATGTCGCGCCATTTCTTAAACCTCTCGTTCCCATTGTGCCTATCCAGCTACATATTTAAACAAAAGCACAGAGACACCGAAAGTGTATTAGCCTCGTAGCTCCTACGCTCTCGAATATACAAGTCTCGTACAAAGCGTGTTCTTTTAATAAACTTCTACAATATTTGGTTACTCCAGGTTAATCTGATGGTCAGACGAAGGTAAAAAAAACCGCGACGTCCCGAATTGGACGCTGGACGTCCTAGAAATCAACATAACGCGTTCGTGCACCTACGATCGAGATCAACGTGTAACGTGACTTGCGTGCCTTGGGAATCCTAGGCTCTTTTCATACGATATTAGTGTAATCATGGACTAGTTTTGCATCGCATTTAACGGCTACAGCCATCCTGTTCCTGTGCCTCGATCGTGAATACTTCAACTGAAACAAAGATATTATTATTATTCGATCGTGAAAGATATTATAACACGAGAAAAATGACGGTACCCGAAAAATGTACTCGAGGCCCGTTTAAAGAGGCGCTCGAGGCCTTTGAGGATTCTTAAGACCGCACAAAGACCGTGATTAAAGCTGTGATAACAATGCTGTCGTTCATCTCGTCGTTCCAGCAGTTACATTCGAGTGTGTTTCAACGTTAGGTTGTTTACCAGCCGCCTTCACACTGTCATCGTCCCGGTCTTCCTCGTTGGTCGCTGCCCCGTGTCCGTTCTTCCCGGTTCTTTTTGTCGTCGCTCCTTGATTCGGTACACGGAGCTCGAGTGACACTAAAATTCAAGGTGGCACTGACCTAGCTGGCGGCTAGGACCACCAGAGGTGGACCGTTCCGCGACTCTCCTGCTCGCTGGTAGGTACTGTTATTTCACTGGCATACTTCGGCTGGAATACCAAATGAATCCGGCCGGCAAAAGACGAACGGTGATGCATCAGGAATTCCATCTAGAGCTAGGTACCGTGGATCAGTCAAGGTTGAATGCTCAGGTTCATCGTACGAATTCTTTTCAAATGCCTGTTGAAAATTTCAAACTGGTTTCGTGTCGCGGATTCTGTTCACGCGGCGAGCATCGCTCTCGCGGAGTGACATTGAGTTTATCGATAAATGGA